TGGCGGGATTTAAAGCCACCGGATCCAGGCCTCGAACCACAGTCGACTACATGGGAGTCCAGGGACACAGCCATTACGCCATCTGCTGGTCCCCCACCCCTACTTTTCTTAAAAATCCATATATACACTCTGTGGTCTAAGAACTGCTAAAACTGTTGCTGACCACTAGATGTTCCCTGGCTCCTCTTTGGGAGTTATGAACTGAAAGAATCTATTTCTGGGGGCCTACAGGTGGCATAATAGTTAAGTTGCTAGACTCCCACATGGTTGATCACTGTTGAAGTATCAGATCTGGTGACTAGAAACACACTAGGCATGCATGTGTGGGTGTCCAAAATCCCAAGAGAAGAATGGAAGAGAAGGGATTGCCATGCCATGTGACCATCACCGGGGTTGGGGGGTTGTTTCTCAGTCTCTCTCTGCCTTTGTGTCTCTGACAAATACATGTTCCCGATGGAGAAATACCTTTTTTTTTTTTTTTAAACGAGCTCTATTAAAGAAAAATGTTGCATGATTTACTTTTCACTGGTCTGTTTGGGCATACTTCTAATGATATTGGAACAACCTGGATCAATGATAGCCAGTGTGTATACTCTAGTGTTTTCCACATGCTGTGCCCAATTCAATATTATTTCCACTGCAGTGATGGACACCAGTTTTGGCCAACATGGCATAGTACTCTATTTCAGATTTCCTCAAAGCTGGGCAGTTGTTGGCGAGGATGACCAACTTCGCTTTGCCTTGTCTGATCATCTTCAGAGTCTGCTTGTACCCCAGGACATACTTCCCACTTTTCATAACAAGTTGGAGCCAAGAGTTGATCAACTCCAGTGACTTTTTCACCTTCTTTGCGGCCGCCATCTTCCTGCCTTAGGTGTGGGACAGCCCCCAACCAAGAGTAGCCACCAAGATGGCTGGGAAGCAAGAAAGGAAGGAGTTCCCACAATACAAAGCTCTTCACTGCGGAGCTGAGTTGCCAGGGCCCAAGAAATATCTCTTAAAAAAATAAAAGTTGGGTCCAGCAGATGGTGTAATGGTTACATCACTGGACTCCCACATAGTTGAACACAGTTCAAGTCCCAGACCTGGTGGCTTAAAACTCAAGCCAGGAGTGTGTGCGCATGTGCCCAAAGTCCTGAGAAGAGGAATGGAGGAGAAGGGATTGCAGCATGACCATCCCCCCGGGGTGTGATTTCTCACTTTCTGTCTCTCTGTGTCTCTCTGGTGAGAGCACATGCCCTATAGCAAAAAACATCTCTCTCTAAAAAATGTTTTTTAAAAGTCTATTTCTCACAGTGTGATATATGTGCAGTTACAGGTAAATGAGGTAATTTCAGGCAGTACAGATTTTTAATAGATATGTGCAGTCATGTACCACATAGCATTTCAGTCAGTGAAGACTACGTATCTGTTGGTGTACGATAAGGAACACAAGCTACACTAAACACCCTAGCTGTAGAGTAGGCTGCACCATCTAGGTTAGTGTAAGTACGGTCTATAGTATTTGCTCAGTGACCAAGTTGCCTAACGGCATTTCTCAGAACATAGCCCCGTCACTAAACGATGCAGGACGCTATTAACGTCATACACTGGGCCTTACCTCAGATCTAAGACTTCACAGACATTATTACTTAAGACAAGGTTAAAGTTCTAAAAATTAGTTGATAATCACAGTAATTTAAATGGAAATATTCTTGTTTTCTTTTTTTTGTTTTCCATTTACACTTCACCCCCCTTACAACTGTTTGAAATAGCTCTTGTCAGGGTCACCAGTGCCCTCCATATTGCCGTAACCAGTCTCGTTCCTCTGTGCCTGTCTTTCTGAACTCGACAGCATTCAATATAATAAACTCTCCTCCAAACACTTCTGTTTTGACTTCTGTGATTTTGTAGTAGGTATTTTGTTTGTTTTGTTTTGTTTTAAAGAATGATTTGTTTAATTTTATTTATTATTATAATTATTTTAAATTTGCTGTAGGGCACACATGCTTACGAGAGAGAGACAGAGGGAGAAGAAGGGAGAGAGAGAGAGAGAGAGGAGAGAGAGAGGGGGAAGGTGAGAAAGCAAGCTGCCTAGTCCAGGACTCAAACCACAATTGGCCATGTGGCAATCCAGTACCTTAACTACCTAACTACCTGCTTGCCCCGCACGTTAGGTGTGCTTTAATTGTCCTTTTTGTACCTTTGTTTATTTGTTTGTTTGTTTTTTCCCCAGGTTTATTTATTCCATGAGTGAGAGAGAAATAGAGATAAACATACAGCATCGGAGCAGGTCTAACGCTTCAGTTCACCCCCGCTTCAGCCAGCCCAGGTGATGGGCATGTGCATCCATGTCCCCCTTACTCAGCGGGGTTCTGCCTCACACGGCATCACACTTTACCCTGTCCTGCCCCGTCTGCCTTTAAATACTGGAAGACCCCACTGTTAAGTCCTGGGGTCTTAGCTCTAACTACGGTTTATGCTTAGGTGATCTCATCTGTTACATAATTGTAATTACTGTGTTTAAGCTGATCTTTTCCAAAGTACACCTAAGGCACAAACTTCTCCCCTGAGTTTCACACTCTGTTTAGATGCCTGATAGATAGCTAAAACTTACCTTATCTAGCAAGGACTGTTGTATCTCCCCAGTCTGTTTTCCCTATCCCACAAAATGGCACCCCTACCCTTTGACCCATTTGCTTAAGCCTAAAGCCTGAGGTTTATCCACGATTCACCCTCCCTTTCCTCATGTCCCACGTCCTCTCACCTCCAGAGTGCTGCTGAATTCTCCAGCTCTCCCTCTCCCTCCCTGCCTCCCTCTTTCCATCTTGTTCCAATCTGTCATGATCTATTACCGGTACTATTCTCCTATAATCCATTCTCTTCCAAGCAACCATTGTAGTTATTTAAAAAAAAACTGTAAGTCTGATCATGTCACTGTTCTCCTTAAAGCCCTCCAGTGGCCTCTCTTTATATGTACATTGAAACCCTAACCCCTTGGGATGGCTCATAACAAACTTTACACTTTCTGACCTCTACATTTCCCTCCACCCCCACGGCATGCCACCCTCTGCAGACCCACTGCCTTCCAGCCCCAAGCCTTCTGTTAGTTCTTTCAGGACAGCAGGCTCTCCCAGCCTCCAGGCCTTGGCTTCCTCTGCCCTTAGTCTGGAATATACTTCCCGCAGCTCTTCACATGACTGGTTTTTGTTCGCCATTCAAGTCTCAGTTGAAAAGTGACCTCCACAGAGCCTTTTTGAAGCTGAAGTTTAAATTTAGAGTTACTTCCCCCCTCCTACCTCCCATCATCTTACTTTTGATGTTTTCTTGTTTGATTTCTTTTGTAGAACTTACCATTCTCTCAAAGTATTCTTTTCGTTTATTTACCTATGATCTTTATCCATTAGACTCCTTGAGAGTAAAGACCTGTTTGTTTATCACTATTTCCTCAGTGCCTAGGACAGTGCCTCTTACATAGTAGACCCTCAGTGACTATTTGTCAAGGGAATGAGTAATTTCGTTTCCTCCAGACCGTGAGCTCCTTGAGGGCAGAGACAATTTTGTTCATCATTATACCTGTGCTCCTAGTATGGCGTCGTTCTACATTACAAATAACTTAATGTTTTGTTTTGTTTTGTTTTTAGTTTTTGCTATGGGGTACATGTACTCACTGGGGAGAGAAAGAAAAAAAAAAGTGAGAAATCACCCTCTATGGGCATGGCCACATAGCAATTCTCCTCTACTCCATTCTCCTCTCTGGATCCTGGGCACACATGTGCGCATGCCCACAGTGATTCTCAACCTCCCACTTCTGTGACCTGAACAAAGCATTTGGCCATGTGGGATCCAGTGCCTTAACCTCCACTCCACCTGGTGGCTCCAATAACTTACTGTGTTCTTTTTTTTTTTTTTTAAGAATTATTTTAATTTAACTTTATTTATTCATTTACTTATTTTAATTTGACCAGAGAAGGATGGAGAGAGAGGGAAAGTGCGAAAGTAAGCTGCCAGGTCTGGGTCTCAAACCACGGTCGGAATCTAGTGCCCTTAACCACCATACCACCTGCTGGCCCCAACTTAATGTTTTTAAAGTTGGATTTGTTGAGGTGTATTTTACATAGAGTAGAAGTCACTCCTTTTATAATAATTGCACAGTTCTATGATGAGTTTTTAAAGTTGGATTTGTTGAGGTGTATTTTACATAGAGTAGAAGTCACTCCTTTTATAATAATTGCACAGTTCTATGATGAGTGGGTACAGTTGTGTAAACGATGCTGTAATATAAGACATAGCGTTAAAATTAGTAAGTGCATCGCTCACACAGAGTAGTCAGTAAACAGCCATATATTCGTGTTCTGTGACACTGCCAGCTGATAGCCTTGCTGCCACTAACAAAGCACATCTGTCATACAGGTGAACGAGAGGTTGGAACCGAGGCGAAAATGCTGCTGTTGGCCCGGGAAGATAAGAAGCTTCAGTGCTTGGGACTACAGAGCAGGCAGCCGGCAAGTGTTTCCTATGAGACCTGCGAACTCTGAGGCACCCTGGGTCACTCTGCTACTTGGGAGCAGAACCTTTGGGAGCAAACTTCAGTAATAAACATTCTAGCATTCTCTGTCTCTGTTAATTCTCGGATTTTCTTTTTTTCTTTCTTTCTTTTTTAAGAGAGATGTTTGCTGTAGGGTGCATGTACTCACTGGATAGAGAGAGACAGAAAGCAAGAATTCACCCCCCAGGAGGGTGGTCATGCAGTAATCCCTTCTCCTTCATTCTCCTCTCAGGATTTTGGGCACACACATGTGTCCAGTTTGAGGTTTGTTTTTTGTTTTTTTTTTTATTTATTTTACATTAATTCACTAATCATCATCACAGCATACAAAATGCGCTTTCCCATCCAGAATACACTGTATAGTGGCTTAATCATAAATGTTATTGTCAACAGATTATTTCCCATTTCTTGTTTGTTTCTTAAATATATACATGTGTGTATATATATAATACACACACACACACACACACACATATATTTTTTCCCCCTATTTCTCAGTCTCTGCTGTTTCTCACCCTCTTCTCACACTGTCTCTGGTATCTGCAGTTGCTTTCTATTTCAACTTGAGTTTTAAGCTGCCAGGTCCAGGACTCGAATCATGGTTGACTACATGGGAGTCCAGTGATGTAACCATTATGTCATCTGCTGGTCCCAAGAAGAAATTCTGAGTAAAGGACTCATTCATTTGGGGAGTTTTGTTTTTTTGCATTTAGGGTTCCTGATAAATTAAACTTCAGACATCTCTTTTAAAAAATATTATTTATTTACTTATTCATTTTATTTGTTATTATTATTTTTGTTTTAATTTTACCAAAGACAGAAGGAGAGAGAAAGGGAAAGTGAGAAAACAAGCTACCAGGTCCAGGACTTGAACCATGGTTGGCCATGTGGGAATCCAGTATTTAACCATCATGCCACCTGCCAGCCCCTAGACATCTCTTATAGAAGAATTAGTTGAAACAACAACAACAAAAAGGGACCAGCAGTAAGCGTAATGGCTATGTCACTGGACTCCCACGTAGTCGACCGCGGTTCAAGTCCCGGACCCGGTGGCTTAAAACTCATGCCAGGCGCGTGTACGTGCGTGCCCAAGAGCCGGAGAGGAGAATGGAGGAGAAAGGATTGCACACAAAGAGACAGCACAAACTAGGCGGGATAGCCTCCTACACACCTAGGCATAGGACCTCAGTTGTATAGCAGTCCGTGTTGACTAAAGCATTGTCTTGCAATGTATGTGGAAAGAATTAGATTCTTTAAATTGTCATTTTATTTAAGCTTGTTTTTCTCCTTGCAAACGGTTGCTGGGAGTGACGTGCAGCAAAACTTAAATGTGGGAATTGCAAATTTTTCTCAAATGGAGGGTTTTATAATGGATAGAGGAAAAAGAAAGATTTTTGGTGGTGAGGACTGAAGGATGAAGTGTAACGAAAAACAGTAATTTGAAAACTGCTACCTTGGAGTATGGTATTTTATGTTTTTGTTTGTTTGTTTGTTTAAGTTTATTTGTATCTTTCATGAATGAGAGAGAGACAAAGAGCACCCCAAAAGGGTCCCAGTGTAGCGATCCACCCACAGCCTCAGCCAGGCCCCGATCATAGCAGGCCAATGTAGGAAGATATCTGAATGCAAACTCGGAAACTTTCCATGGGGGTCAGCCTCACAGAGGGTCACATTCCACCATTGTACACCATCTGGGCCCAGAGTGTGAAATTTTTAAAAATATAGTTATTTTGGGGGACCAGCAGTTAGCGTAATGGCTATGTCGCTAGACTCCCATGTCGGCGACCACAGTTCGAGTCCCAGACCCAGTGGCTTAAACTTGCGTCAGGCGCATGTGCATGCGTCCCCAAGATCCTGAGAGGAGAATAGAGGAGAAGGGATTGCGGCGTGGCCATCCCCCCTGGGGGGTGATTTCTCGCTTTCTGTGTCTCTGGCTCTCTCTGTCTGTCTGACTAACGCATGCGCCCTATAGCAAGAAACTGCAAAAAAAAAATTATTTTGGGATTGGCAGGTGGCATGGTGGTTAAGGGCACTTGAAAAAGTGAGAAAGCAAGCCACAATGGCCGACCATGGTTTAAGTCCTGAACCTGGTGGCTTGCTTTCTCACTTTCCCTCTCTCTCTCACTCTGCCTTCACTGGTCAAATTAAAATCAACAAGCAAGCAAACAAATTAAAATAATTCTTTAAAAAAAAAACACATAAAAATAATTGTTTAACTTTACTTATTATTTCTTAAAAATTTTGTTATAGGGCACATGTCCTAAAAGAGATTAGGAAGAGAGGGAGAAAGAGAAAGAGAAAAAGAGAGAGCAAGCTCCCAGGTCCGGGACTCAAACTGTGGTTGGCCATGTGGGAGTCCAGTTCCTTAACCGCTACACCACCTTCTGGCCCCTGAATGTGAAATTGTATCATCTGCACAGTCCTCTGTCAACTTTAGTTTCCTGAAATCATGAGAATGTTGGATTTACTGTTTGAGAGTGTTACAAGGGGAAGGAAAGAAAATATCTCTAGAAATAATGAGAATTTCCCTTCTATTGGTATCTGTTTATTTCTAAAAACAAATGAATCTTTAAACAGCACTTTTGTCTTCTATGTATTTCCAGATATTCCTTTTTATTGGTTCAGATGCCTTTAACTGCTGCACGTTTCTCTCTGGCTTCTTGCTGTTGGCTGGGACACAAGATGGAAACATTTATCAGCTGGACGTGAGGAGTCCAAGGTGAATAACCTTTCATCTCAGGGTGCGGGTCTTCCACAGAGTGGGATGTTTTTATTGGGCTCGACATTGATTTAGCCTAGATCATGGCAGACATTGAATCAAAGGTATAACTTTTCATTTATAAAGGTTTCCTGATGTGAGTTGTCTGACTGTTCTTACTGCTCCTGGAATCATATTACAATAAAAGGTAGTTTATTCACATATTCCTGATTGCTCAACTGTAAGGATTGCTTTGGAAATTAAGCTTGAATATGAACTAACATTTCACTTGAGATGGTTATCTAGAACTTTTAACTTTAAGGAGCTCAATAATTTTCTTTAGGATATTAGACCTAGGCTAGCCTAAGATTGAATCATCATTTTAAGTTCAAGTAAGCCAGTTCAGTTTCTTATTTAACTGTGATCACAACCTATTTAAAACAAAGCTTATCATAGTCTTAAGGCTATCCAGAGCGTATCTAAAGAAAAATCATACAATCTCTCTGTTGCAGGATTTAGCTATTTTTATGATTCTGTCCTTTCTTCCTTTTCTTTCCTTCCTTTGTTCAACTAGCATTTATTGAATGGCTTCTGTGGAGCCAAGCTTGGTACAGGGTACTGAAAGAAACGGAAAAAAAAAAAACACACACTGCCTTGAGGCACTGGCAGTCTCATGGTAGTCCGGATGATCCGGGTAGAGGATGCCTGTAGTGCAGTGAGCTCACTGGTCTGACAGTGCTCCCCTCGGGAATTTTTTTCTTTTTTTTGGAGAGGTTTTTGCTATAGGGTGCGTGTGCTCGCCAGAAAGACAGAGAGAGACAGAAAGCAAGAAATCACCCCCCAGGGGGGATGGCCACCCCGCAATCCCTTCTCCTCTCAAGATACTGGGCACGCACGCACACGCGCCCACCGTGAGTCTAAGCCACCAGGTCCGGAACTCGAACCGCGGTCGACCACGTGGGAGTCCAGTGACATAGCCATTACTCGAACTGCTGGTTCCCCCCCCTTGGGAATTTGAGGAAGCACTGAGAAGCAGAGGGAAGAGGTGAGACTACCTCCCTCAGGAAATGAGAAGCATTGGGTCTTGTCGTGTGCGAAGTTAGCAAGGTAGAAGCCAGCACTTCCACTTGCCTCATGATTCTGCATATGCCACTGCCCTGGGTAGAGTTGCATGTGTACAAGCATGAGGGTGTGGAGCACATTCTGGGTCTCTGAGAGGCTTACTATGACAGGTCCATGCCCCGCAGATGGCAGCAGTGAGAAGTGAGGCCAGACAGGATAACTCCAGCTTGCTTAGTAAGTCCTTACATACCATCTCAAGAAATTTGAACTTCATGCTATTGACTAGCTTACACTTTTTCTCCCATCACTTATTTAATTTTGCTCATGTTTTTGTCTCCATGGAGATAGGGAATTTTTTATTGCTACTTTAAAATCACCCTGATGGGGCCAGAAGATAACATAGCAGTTATGTTGCTGGACTCCCACATGGCCAACCATGGTTCACATCCTGGGCCAGGTGGTTTGAAACTCACACTGGGTACTTGTGCCCCCAAGATCCTAGGAAGAGAATAGAGGAGAAGGGATTGCAATGTGGCCATCCCTCTCGGGGGTGGGGGGGTGATTTCTCATGTTCCCTCTCACTGTCTCTGTCACTCACTCTCTTTCTCTCTGTTGAACACATGTGCCCTAAAGCAAAACTCTCTAAAAATAAAATAAAGTCACTGTCATTATCACTTATCATTCTTGTTCAGAATCCTGTTTTTTTTTTTTTAATGGCCAGAGGACTCATGCACTCACCAGAGAGAGAGAGAGACAGAGGGAGAGAAAGAAAGCACCCCCTTATCCCCATAAGGAATGGTCATGCCCCAATCCCTTTTCCTCCTTTTCTCCCTCCTTTTGTGATTTGGGTATACATGCATCTAGCATGTGTTTCAAGCTACCAGGTCTGGTACTTGAACCATGTGGTCTGCCATTGTGGGATCCAGCCTTCTCAACTACCAGGCCACAAGCTAGACTGAGTTTTGGCAATTTTAGTATTTTATACCTGGTCTTCATTTTATCTTTAAGTAAACAAGTTAAAATATTGTTAACATTGTTATTTTCAGACCATATCAGATTGCCCCTAAAAACTTGAGATTTTGAGACCAACAGATGGCATAATGGTTATGTTTCTTGACCATAGTTGACCATGGTTCGAGTCCTGGACCCGGCAACTTAAAACTCATGTCAGGTGCGTGTGTGTGTGTGTGTGTGCCCCAAATCTTGAGAGGAGAATGGAGGCATAGAGATTGTGGCATGGCCATGCTCCCCAGGGGGTGATTTCTCACTTTCTGCCTCTGTCTCTGTCTCTCCAGTGAGTACACACGCCCTACAGAAAAAAACTCTCTAAAAAAATAATCAAAACAAAAAACTTGAAATATAGCTCATGTTTAGAGACATGTTTAGATTCACTCCAAAGTGATTTTGATTACTTTGATTCTGGTTTTTTATTTTAATTTTTATTACCTTGATGTGTCTTTTTTTTTTTTTTGAGAGGTTTTTCCTATAGGGTGCGTACACTCACCAGAAAGACAGAGAGTTGATGTGTCATGTAAGTATCTTGCAAGGAAGCAAACCATATGATGGGGTTAGTACTATAAGTTGAACATGGTCACGCATTGCTCTTGCAGAAAAGAAGTAAATTTTTTTTTTTTTGTTCATTATGGAAATGTACATGACCTGATTTTTACATCATAATAAAAATGGGCCTGTTGACGAGGGGACATGGGTTGTTCTGGTGAACAGCCAGTACTTATACTCGTTCCAAGGCTTCTAACATGAGGATACTACTTCCTGTATTACCACCATTCCGATATTGTTCTGTTGCCCACTAGTTGCCATCTCCACACATTCATCTATCACAAGATTCGTAAGTGGGTCAAATCCCCGCAATATTCCTTGGACATGTCTGCCACCATTTAATTTTAATCATAACTTCTTGTCCATACATTTTTTCAATTCGGGAGGGTGAGCTTTGCTCATGGTACCAACTCAGCTGGCTCAGAGATGCCTCTGAACAGAATTCTCAGCCTCTTCACGTTCCCGCGGCAGGCCCAGCATCTCAAGAAGTAAATATTTTTCATTTTACTCTTAATCCTAGGACTCCAGTACAAGTCATCCATAGATCAGGAGCACCAGTTCTGTCCCTGCAGAGTTTCCGAGATGGATTCATTGCTAGCCAAGGTGGGTTCAGGGGCTGATTAAAAGAGATGGTCACGGGACTAGCAAGGGTATAATGGTTACATCACTGGACTCCCACGTAGTCTGCTGCAGTTCGAGTCCCAGAACCAGTGGCTTAAAACTCAATACAGGTGCGTGTGTGTACCCAGAATCCTGAGAGGAGAATGGAGGAGAAGGGATTGTGGCATGACCATACTCCTGAGGGGGTGAATTTTTGCTTTCTATCTCTCTGTCTCTCTGGTGAGTGCAAGTGCCCTATAGCAAAAATTTCTTCCTAATAAAGAAAAGAGAGAGATGGTCTCATGGAGTTCAATGAATTAAAGATAGTACCTGATTTATGGCTGGGTTGGTACGTGGTCCTCCATGGTTCTTGGGCATACTGTGTTCGTCACGTAGAGTTTATCCCTCTATGTTGTGATTGTGTTGCGACTGTCCAAGCTTCTTGCAAGCAGTGCCTGTGCCTTATTCCTTGTGTTATCCCTAGCCTTTTGCTCAATTACTGCTCACTAAATGTTAGTAGAGTAGATGGATGGGCTAGGATCGCAGAACACTGAGGATTCAATACTCAGATCAGTTACAGTCTCTGCCCTGAAGGTGCTCACAGTTAGTGAGGCAGACAGACATGTGACATGTGCTTGTGGGATACTTTGATAAGTCCTACAGCAGAAGATGCAGGAGAACAAGGAGAAAACCAGAATGAGTTGTGTTTTTTCTTTTTAATCTTTATCTGGTGTTTTATTTTATCTTTCCGTTTTATTTCTAACATTTTATTGAGAGAGCATTTATTACTTTTTGTTAAAGAATTTTTAAAATTTTCTTTTATTATCATTATTAGTGGTAATAAAAGTATTAATTTGGCCAGAGTGAGAGAAAAACAGAGAGAGATGGAAAGTGAGAAAGCAACCCACCAGGTTGGGACTTGAACTGCGGTCAGCCATGTGGGAGTCCAGCACCTTAACCACTATGCCACCTGCCAGCCCAAACATATACGACTTTTATATTAAATAAAACAACAAGAATCATCATTTTTTAAATTATTATTTACTTGTTATTATTGTTGTTAATATTATTTTTCACATGAGGTTTTTTTTTTTTCTTTTTTTTTGAGAGGTTTTTGCTATAGGGCGCGTGCGCTCGCCAGAAAGACAGAGAGAGACAGAGAGCGAGAAATCAGCCCACGGGGGGATGGCCACGCCGCAATCCCTTCTCCTCCATTCTCCTCTCGGGATCTTAGGCACGCACGCACATGCGCCCGGTGTGAGTTTTAAGCCACTGGGTCCGGGACGTGAACCACAGTCGACTACATGGGAGTCCAGCAACATAGCCATTACGCTAACTGCTGGTCCCTTCACATGAGTTTTTTACCAGAGAAAGATGGAGAGTGAGAAGGCAAGCTGCCAGGTGCGAGACTCAAACTATGGCCATCCATGTGGGAATTCCAGCACCTTAACCACCATGCCACCTGCTGGCCCCAGAAATCACCTTATTAAGCAATTTCATTCCTAACAAGTTTTCATTGCCTGAGCTCTTCTGAGAAGATGAAGTTGATTAGATACACTTTGTTTTCTCAGTATAACTTTCTTCCTCCTAGTATATGTAGTCAGATTTGTATACTGAAGAATGTTGGAGAAAAAAAGTTGGAAAAAATATATTCCAAAATAATTGGAATACATTTTTTTAAAACATTTGTTTAGACAAATTCCTTATTTAAAAACTTGGTTGAAGGCCAGCAGATAGCATAGCAATTACATTGCTGGACTCCTACATGGCTGACTGCAGTTTGAGTCCTGGACCCACGTGCCAGGTGCATGAGTGTGCGTGCCCAAGATCCCAGGAGGAGAATGGAGGAGAAGGGATTGCGGTGTGGCTATCCCTTCTGGGGGGATGATTTCTCACTTTTCCTCTCATTGTCTCTTTCTTTCAGGCATATGCCCTAAAGCAAAAACCTCTTTAAAAAAAAAATCTTGAGGGGACCAGCAGGTGGCATGGTAGTTAAGGTGCTAGACACTCTCACATGACTGACCGGTGTTTGAGTCCCAGACCTGGTGGCTTGCCTTCTCACTTTCCCTCTCTCTCTGTCTCTCTGTTTCTATCTTTCTCTGGGCAAATTAAAATAAATGAATGAATGAATAAATAATTATTTTTTAAAAATCTTGAGGGACTAGCAGCTGGCGTAATAGCTATGTCACTGGACTCCCATGTAGTTGACTAAGGTTCGAGTCCCAGACCTGGTGGCTTAAACTCAAGCCAGGTGCATGTGCATGCATGCCCAAGATCCTGAGAGGAGATTGGAGGAGAAGGGATTGTGGCGTAGCCATCCCCCCCGGGGAATAATTTCTCGCTTTCTGTCTCTCTCTTTCTCTCTGTCTTTCTGGAGAGCGCACACGCCCTATAGCAAAAACCTTTAAAAAAAAAAAAGAAAACTTGATTGAGGATAAGTTTACAAATAGATATATAAGCCTGCAGCTGCATGCTTTATGTCTTTGGCAAGTATTGCTAAAAGACAGTCCTTCTAACCTCTGATTGAATTTACTTTTGAACTTTAAATCTTCCCTAGCCCAGCATTCTAGATAGCATTCTAGGTCATTGTAATTGATCCATATTGTAAGACTTACTTGCCACTCTTGGTCCTAGGACCAAAGTCTTCAGGCTAGTAATCTACAGAAATAAATCAAAATACCAAGTTTTTTTTTTTTTTTTTTAATCATAATTTCTGGTTTACATATAATTGATGACAGCTTTGTGGGCTCTAGTGGATTTTTTTACGACAGGCATACAGTGAAAGTAAAGGTTTTAACGTCCTTTGGATGCAACATTCTTCTTAGTTATCTAAATTTTCTTTCTCCCTTCTAGGTGATGGAAGCTGTTTCATTGTTCAGCAAGACTTAGACTATGTCATTGAGCTCACCGGGGCTGACTGTGACCCTGTGTATAAGGTACAGACTTGAAGGACTCCCAGCTCAGGAAGTTCTCACTTGGGATCTGGGACGTTGAAGGTCTCAATCTGGATACTTTGTGGTCTTTCAGGGTAATAAATTACTGCTTTATGTGTAAGCAGTTTGGTGGGATGAAAAGAAATCATAAGTGACTTCATCTCTTAATTGCTCTAAAAACATGAAAATTACTTCACCTCTTAAAACATAAGGATGTAAGGAGATAATGCATAAGAAAACTCATTGTTAAAAGTTCAAGACCAGGGGCTAGAAGGTGTGCAGTCATTAAGGCATTGGACGTCAACATAGCTGACCGTGGTTTGAGTCCTGGACCTGGAGGCTTGCTTTCTCACTTTCCCTTTCTTTCTCTCTCTGATTAAAGTAAATAATAATTATATTTTACAAATTAAATAGTATAATTTTTTAAGAATTATTTTATTTGTTATTATTTTTAAAAATTTGACCAGAGAGGGATAGCAGTTAACGTAATGACTATGTCGCTGAACTCCCATATAGCTGACCACAGTTCGAGTCCCGGTGGCTTAAACTCATGCCAGGTGCATGTGTGCATGCATGTCAAGATCCCAAGAGAAGAATGGAGGAGAAGGGATTGTGGTGTGGCCACCCCCCCTTGGGGGGGGGTGATTTCTCACTTTCTGTCTCTGTGTCTCTCTCTTGTCTTTCTGGCAAGTGCACGCACCCTATAGCAGAAACCTCTCCCCCCAAAAAAAAATTTGACCGGAGAGAAAGAGAAAGGGAAGGGGCCAGCAGGTGGCATGGTGGTTAAGGGCACTGGACTCCCACATGGATGGCCGACCGTAGTTTGAGTCCCAGATCTGATAGCTTGCTTTCTCACTTTCCCTCTCTCTCTTTCTTTTACTCTGTCCCTCTCCAGTCAAAATTAAAAATGAATAAAGTTAAATAAAATAATTCTTTAAAAAAATATTTTTATTTAACTTTATTTGCTTATTTTAGAATGACAGAGTGAGAGAGAGAAAGAGAGAGAGAGAAAGTGAGAAAGCAAGCCACCAGGTCCAGGACTCAAACCACAGTTGACCATGTGGGAGTCTAGCGCCCTTAACCACCACACCACCTGCTAGCCCCTAAAATAATTCTTAAAGAAAAAAAGTTCAAGACCAGTGATCTCATTTAATCTGAATGAAAGAGAAAAACAAAAGGGGAAATAATATTTACTGACCAGACATTGTACCGGATGTTTTATAGATATTATCTCTTATCTTGTTACCATTCTTTGAGATACAGGTATTAATATTCCTGTTTTTTTCCTTATATTTGTTTTTAAGATTTGTTTTTCTGGACATTATATGTCTCCACGTAATATATACTGTCTGCACTCTATGGTAGGGACTGAAAGATTGGGGGACATAAAAGCATTTAAAATAGTTGTGGACACTGGAGACAATGTGGAAGGAGTGTGGGAGAGGAGGAAAGTATAGGAAAGAAAGTTAGGGAGAAAAAAATAGAGAGGCAAGACATTTGTGGGACACAGTAATGGTTTGTTACCTCTTGATGATAGCGTGTATAGCATTCTCAGCTGGACTGGTCTGAGGTGTATTTCATGTTGTGTAAATTCTTTTTGCAAACCAAATGATATGTAACAATCCAATGTATATAAAATGATAATATTAAAATAAAAATTAAAATATATATTTGTTTTTCTGGGGCCAGGAGGTGACATGGTGGTTAAGACTTTGAACTCCCACACGGCCGACCATGGTTCAAGTCCCAGACCCAGTGACTTGAACCTTATGCCAGGAGCATGTGCCATTTTGGCAATGCCCCAAATCCTGAGAGGAGACTGGAGGAGAAGGGATTACAGCATGGCCATCCCCCTTGGGGGATCATTTCTCACTTTCTCACTGTCTTTCTCTCTCTCTGATGAGTTCATGTGCCCTTTGGAGAAAATGTAATTAAAAAAAAAAAAAGATTTGTTTATCTATGATAGAGCACATGAACATGCACATGAGAGTGAAAGAGGCAGGCAGGTGAGGTATCCTCTGCAGGATCTGGTCATGCTATGATCCCCTTCTTCCACGCAGTCCTTTAGCCTGTCATATCCTGGGCACTTGTGTGCATGCTTGGTATGTTTCAGGCTGAGCAGAATGGGAATTCGAACTGCAGTCACCCTGTGGGCCCCGGCTGCTCTTGAGCAGTTCATTAATGCTGTCCTGCAGAATCAACCCTTTCCTTAACATTTTTAGAAAGTTATACAATTAATATACATTTGCCTATTAGAACTATAAAGATTTAAAAGTCTCCTTTTTGGGGCCAGCAGATGGCATGATGATTAAGGTGCTGGACTCCCACAGGGCTGACTGTGATTTGAGTCCCAGACCCGGCGGCTTAAAGAAAGAAAGCCACTGGGTCTAGGACTCAAACCGTGGTTGACTACATGGGAGTCCAGCAACAAAACAAGTATGCCATCTACTGGTCTCTGGCATATGTCTTTTATGTAAATAATATGATTTATCTCTAGGTTGTACATAACTAGCTAGGATCATTCTATGTGTATTGCCATCTGACTTGTTTTGTTGTTGTTGTTGTCTTCTTTTGTTTTTTTTGGCATATGCTAGCCAGAGAAAGAGAGGGGAGAGGAAAAAAGCACCCCCTGTAATGGGATATGATCACACTGCCATCCCTTCTCTATTTCTCCATCCTATTGGAATTTGGAGCATACACACACATGCACCTGGCATGTTTTTCAAACCACTGGGGCTAGGACTCAAACCATAGTTGGCCATGTGGGATCCATTTTCTTTAAACATTAGGTCATGGGTAGCCCTTTTTTTTTAATGTCTTGGAAGTCTTTCTAGGTAGACACATGTCAATCCATTTCACTTTTTAAAATTCATGCAATGTTTTGTGTTGTAGATTAACATACCGTTTTTATTTTACAAATGAAAAAACTGGGACCCAAAACAATCGAGAGAGCGGCCGTTGTTCATTCATAGTAGCAAACCCGAGATTAGCTCCAGAATTCTTGGTATTTCCACTGCATTAGTGATTCTTAACTTTCTTTGAAAGTTTATGAAATCTTTGGAAAAAGAAATACAAGCTGTGTGTGGTGGCATGTGCCTCTAATCCCAGCTACTTAGGAGGCTGAGGCTGAAGGATCTTGAGTTCAAGATCTTGAGCAACATAGTGATTCCCTGTCTCCTTTTAAAATAAGTAAGTAAATGGATGGTTGGGTGGAGATATATATATAAAGAGAGAGAGAGAGAGAGAGATGTCAGCAGGTGATGTGGTTGTTAAAGCACTGAACTTCTACATGGTTGACCACAACTTGAGAAAAAAGCTGCCATACCCCTGGGGGGTGATTTCTCACTTTCCCTCTGTTTCTCTCTGACAAGCGCATGCACCCTATTTCAAGAACCTAAAAAAAAAAAAAAAAAAAGAGGCACTTTTTTTTATATAATTGTATGAGGTTCAGGGATATTAAACCGTGCACAACACTGGGGGTCAGCAGATGGCGTAATGGTTATGTTGCCGGATGCCCATATAGTCAACTGGGGTTGGAGTCTGGGACTCGGAGACTTAAAACTCACACTGGCACGTGTGTGTGCATTCCCAAAATCCTGAGAGGAGAATGAAGTAAAAGGGATTGTGGCATGACCATTTTCCCATGGAATGACTTCTTGCTTTCTTTCTCCCTGTCTCTTCAGCGAATACACGTGCCCCATAGCGAAAATCTCTCTTACAAAAAAATGCATAACACTAATGGGTGTGTGTTCCACTTAGACCAGTTAGCTTCTCTGTCCTGAACTGTAAAAACATCCTTGATCCTGCCCAGCGACTTTGTAAATACATGTCATGGATGGAATTCTTCTCTTGCTTCTGAATCAGTAAAGCTTTGAAGACTTCCTTGGACTAATGGAAGTCTTTTTGAAATGGAAGAATACCAGACTTCCCTTGAGCTGTGAATTCTGTGTTCTAGGTAGCCACATGGGAGAAGCAGATCTACACGTGCTGTCGCGATGGTCTTGTACGACGCTATCAGCTTGCCGACCTCTGACCCCTTGGAGAAGAGAAATCCCAGTTCATGAAAAGGATTGACCCTGATCACCGATGAGCAGAAACATCGTCAGTCCTTCCCAAGGTCCATGGCCTTTAATGTCTTGACATCTGGAAGTCCCAGAAGGCAGCTTTACTGGCCCTTTGGAACTATTATCCCCACACCTACCCTGAACTGTGAAACCAGCGTACGTATGCACACTGGATTGGCCCCAAACTCTCCCAGTATGAACTCATCCTGGCACCACAGGGCAAGGATATGGGTGCTTATAGTTCGTCCCACACCGACTGCATTAAATGTTTACATGGACCAGAGGACTGAAGCCTCTTCTCTGGAGGAAATAAAGAAAATATGTTTGGAAGAGCCTGGATTCAAAAAACTTTGTTAACTACTTTTTTAAAGAATTATTTTTATTGGGGACCAGCAGATGGCATAGTAGTTACGTCACTGGACTCCCACATGGCCGACCATGGTTTCAGTCCCAGACCCAGTGGCTTGAAACTCACGCTGGGTGTGTATGTGCATGCATGACCAAGATCCCAGGAGGAGAAGGGCTTGTGGCATGGCCATTCCCTCTGAGAGGTGATTTCTCACTTTCCCTCTCACTGTCCCTGTCTCTCTCTCTCCAGAGAGCACACATGTGTGCCTTAAGACAAAAAAAAATTCTTTTTTTGAGAAGTTTTTGCTATAGGGTGCGTGTGCTTGCCAGAAAGACAGAGAGAGACAGAGAGATAGAAAGCGAGAAATCACCCCACAGGGGGCTATGGCCTTGCCACAATCCCTTCTCCTCCATTCTCCTCTCAAGATCTTGGGCACTCATGCACACGCACCCGGCGTGAGTTTAAGCCACTG